TGAAGACAGTGGACAATGAATGTAGCATCTTAAAAACATCAGTAAATGCATGGATTTTCACTTCCCACATGATTCCTCCAGTCAGTGCTTCAAACAAAAAGGTCCCCCTTTTTTTTTTTCAAACTATTTTTATTCTGTTACTTCATCTGTCAGCAGATGCAGCTTTGTAGATTCCCTTGCACTTGTTTTACAGTAGCTCTATTGATCTGCTTAATAACTAGTCCCAAGGAATTGCACTGTTAAATCTTTTAGAAACAAAATCTTTCTGAACAGGTCAGCTATTAGGAAAAATAAGAATCCTCATAAACTATGTTTTTTTCTTTCCTCAGCATCTTTGGAAGCAGACCTGTCAGCAGATGCAGCTTTGTAGATTCCCTTGCACTTGTTTTACAGTAGCTCTATTGATCTGCTTAATAACTAGTCCCAAGGAATTGCACTGTTAAATCTTTTAGAAACAAAATCTTTCTGAACAGGTCAGCTATTAGGAAAAATAAGAATCCTCATAAACTATGTTTTTTTCTTTCCTCAGCATCTTTGGAAGCAGATAAACTACCTTGACAAACATGAGTTAAACCCCTTGACATTTTCCATGTTCAGTAAATGAATTAACACAGATGTTTCTTATTTTGTTTTCTAAGACTCCTGTTACATCTCTTAAGTAAAAGCCTGAAAACAAAACCTGTACATAGTTGAAAAGCAAATGATACATAAATTCAATTAATATAAACACAAATATGCAAACATTCACTCCGGTCTCAACTAACTCATTCATAAAGAAAAGACTAACTTAACATTGCAGTCACTGTAACACTTGGTACAGAATTAACAGGCAGACTTAGTTTCTATTTTGATATTGCATTTTTAGCTTTTTTGATACTCTGTGGAACACAGGAGTGTAAAATAGCAGCCACAGTGCAAGCTAGATCACTTTCGGAGCTGCTTATAGATATACTAGCTAGATACAGCTCCTACAAGATCCTTGCAGATCCTTGTCCAGCCAAGAATCAGCAGAGCTTAATTGTGCTTCCTTTCTTCTGGATATGCTCATGCCCCTGCCACGCTGCTTTTACACCAGCTGAGAGCTGGCCGCGCAGTAACTCACAGCTACCTGTGAATGAGTCAGATTTAGGCTCCTTGGTGCTACCAGAGCTGTGCAAAGGAGCTAGTTCAGAGAACATACCCTGTAATCATGTAATCAAAACAAAAAGGATTGGTTATCTTTCCTTCCACATGCTCAAAGCATTAAGAATGAACTAAGGTAGCTGGAAAAGAATTAAAAAAATAAAGAAATCATCAGAGTGATGTACCAACATGTCATCTTAAGACCTATAGCACAGCATGCTCCACTTACTGTCAGAACAGCTGTATGTGAAAATAAATAACAGATCTTTAAAACTTACTGCACCACAGCCTCAAGAATTCTGATTGGGGTTTTGATCTTTACATTTCTAAATCATATAAGGAGTTCTCCAACCTCAGGGATATGGTATGAACAATCCACACACACGCTTAGGTTTATATGGTCAGTCAAAGCAACAGCAAGCTCCCGCTCTAAAAAAAAAATGGGGTCTTTGAACAACTACTTTGAATCACACTGGCATAAGCTTTAATAAATTCACATCTGGAGCTTTACATGGGAGACAGTCACACTTTACAGAGTTTGTAGGAGTACAGAGTTACAGCACAAAACTCTTCAGATGCAGTCCTGAGGGCCTGCTGCTAAAGCCACAACAATCTCCCAGGCAGAAGACCTACATGTATTTTGGATCATACTATCTAATTTGATTTTAATGTCATGAAGACAACTCAGGGATATCTTTTCCCAGGAAGAACATCACATTATCACATTAATGTAATGGATTTGCAAAAACATATAGTATATAGTGCCAATAAACATTATTTGTTAAAACCAAGATATAATAAGATTAAATGTGCTGCATACTATGCAATCAAGAACTGTTACTACACACTGACCCCAATACAAAAAGCTTGAAAACAAATAAAAAGGGATTTTTTAGTTTTGTTTTTGTGAAAAGGAAGCAGCAAACGAACAATAAAAAAAGTTCTGTCATTATTTTCTAGGTTGGCCCAGACATGAAGTGATTATCTGACCTGGTAAAACATCTGAGATAGTGGAATTGGTTTGGACTCTTTCTCTAATCCTCTGGGATGCACTTTTGTCCTCCTGTTCATCCTCCTCTCTCTAGCTCTATTTCTCCAGCACAAGCAAATACAGAAAACAAGAAGGAAGCAAATTCCAGTTTCTGCTTCTCTCTAACCTTGACAGGGTTGGTTTTGATCTGTCACATTCCAAAAGAAAACGGAAAAAGCAAAAAGTACATTCATACTCCTTAAGAAGAACAAGGCAGGCTCTGTGCCATGTCTGAAGCCTGAAGGAACTCTTTTATCCATTGTCAATAAGAATTGTGCATACCTATTTTCATTTGAATCTTTTTTTAAAAGCTGAAAGCCAAAAGGTGAATACTGAAGTCTGCAATCAGGTCAAATAAGCTGCTAAATAGTTAGGCCACTGCCTAGAGTTCTAGGAAGATTTTGCATTGCTTTGTGCTAATCATTAAGGATAAAGACAGTAAATAATTATTAATCTCCTCTGATTACAAAGACAGCTACTTCTTTAAAGACTAATTTTCCAATGGAAATCTGAAACAATCTCTGCAGAACAAGTAGATGGACTAAACTCCATTTCTTTTGCAGTTTTGTGGCATGTTCATACTTGCACAACCACTGAAAAAGCAGGCATATTGAGTGATTTGTTCCATGGGCTAAAGGCCCTGTAAAACACCGAATCTTTGCTTTGGTTTCCAATAACATACTGAAGAATGTCACTTGTTCAAAACTCCGATGAGCTTAACAAGATTTCAGAAAAGTATTCCAGCAGATGACCTTACATACAACTTTCTCCTCTGTTCCTTTGCTGCAATCAAATGAGTCGCTTTCCCGCAAAGCCCTAGCGCGTCTGGAGACCGCAGAGGCCAGCACAGCCTCCCAGCCCACAGCTCCAGGTGGCCTCTGCCAGCCAAAGGTGCTCCTTGAGAATTTTCTAGCTCTACCTATTTGCCATTTAAATCAAGAGGGAAATCAAGAAAGAAATAAGTTCAGGTTCTTTCGTAAGCATTAATCTTTTACACATAATATGAATATGGTTTAGTGGCAATAACCAAACCTATTAACATATCAGAAAAAAAGCTACATATGTAAATTGCCTCATCTTAGGGGACAACTAATGGATTACATTCCAGCTATAAAGACTCAAGATTTATATTTCCCTCTAGAGATATTCCAAAATCCTATTACTGAGACATATCTCCAAGGAGAGGAGGGGGTTTGTTTGTTTTATTTATTTATTTTTTTTTTTAATCAAACCTCTTTTTAATCAGTCAGAACAAAATGTTTTCACGCAGAAAAAAAGAAGAAATCCAGTGCAAAACCAACAGAGTCCTGACGGAACAGGGGAACTTGGAAAAGAAAATGAAGGTGGAATAAAAATGCAGGCAACAAAGATGTGTACTCTTTGAGTGCCTTTATTACACAGACGTATGCAGAGACAGTTTGCTCCCAAAGGAAATCATTAGAAAGTTGACTTTTAAGAAGCTGGTCCAGGAGACTGAATTCATCCTTTTGGGCTGAGCCAAACTTCAATGACTGTGTTTTGCTGTTAATCCTGGTGAGCTTTTGACTATGGCTTCAGACCCACTTTGTTTTCCCCTTTTAAGGCCGATTTCTGCTCAGCTACAGATATGCGAGTCCTGCGGAGGGGAACCTGAATATGCACATACGCACCTGTCTGCAGAATTCATCTGGCACTGGCTGCTTCCCAGATCCACTGCTCTCTTCTCTGTGAAAGCCCTTACAGACTCCTCAGTCAATTCAGGAATATGCGAGAAAGCTAGTATTTAAGCTTAGCTAAGGTCACAAATGATTCATATTCTCACCAAGATTCAGCAACCATCTTCAAGAACTCAAGCCCCATTTTTAAATACTTCATCGCACCTTAAATGTTTCTTTGAAATTGTTAGGCACCTGGTTTAAGGATAAAGAAGTGCTTTTGTATTCTGCTCAAGTAGGACCCTGTACGGTTTCACAAAAACAAACAAACAAACAGCTTTACCACATTGTTATCAGCCCACTCAAAATGTTTCATTTTGACCCTGTTTGCCTTTAAACACCATTCCACCACTGAATCCTAGCCAGTGTGGGTATGGAAGAAAGAAGAGAGTCAAGCTCAAGGAGGAAAATGCCACAGCTTCATCACAGAGTGAATAATCCACATCTGCAATACATCTCTTGTACTTTAAGCTCATGCACCACAGTCCTCAACAGCAACTCCAATTCTGCCTCTCAAAATCAGAAATCTATTTTCAAGTCACTGAAAAAAACCTCTGGAACTTCAAAGCCGAGCAGTTCTTTCTGCACCAAGATGCCCCACAGTTCCCCAAAGTTAGCAGAACTCTCTAACATTGGAGTTTCTCAACATGAGAGAAAATACAGGCTGCCAGCTGAGATTCGGAGCTGTGCATTCACAGAAGAATATATAACAGGAGTGAGAAAAGCACACAAGTATTTTAGTCAACAGCCCTTTCTGGTAAGCATTGAGAACAACCTGAAAATGCACTGGTTTACATTAACTTTTAAAGGAATCAGCACTTCTTTTATGGGAGTATCTGTCTTAGGGTGAACATCAACTGATCAATACAGCACCAATGTAGACATATATTACTCTATCAATCATACATCAAAAAGAGCAGCAGCACTTTATATTTAATACCCAATGTAACCAATTAATACTGCCATCCCCTGATGTTACACAAGTTCAGTCCCTTAAGTTGCCATGGCAGTAAATTCTACAGTTATAAATGAGAAGCTGCAAATTGATTTGCATGTAATAACAGTACCACTCAACCTTTCTTACCACTTTCAATTTTTCCCATCTGCTACCAGAGTGGAAGTTTAGGATCTATTATTCCCAGAAGGTGACTTACCCAGCTGGACATCTATAACAGTTGGCTGGTTCTCCATGGGGAACAATGGCTTTGGAGGTTTGTCTGTGAGTAAAGCTAGAAAAGAAAATGAGAAAATGTAATGGAAAAATTGAGACCAATGACCGCAAAAGAAAAGCTCTGTCATGTAAGCAATCAAATGTTTGTACACTTGATGGCATGTAAATATTTGTTACGGAATACGGCTGTTACACTGCCAATGTGCTACCACTTTCCTAGTGGCTGTGGTGGCTCACTGATTGAACAGTAATGAGCTATTTCAAGAATTACATTTTTAATACAAAGCAGCAAAACAAACTCCAATTCTCACTTTTAATCTACATATAATAACTAGATCAAGCATTTAGATCCTCACCTCACAAAGTTAACACACTTAATTAAATTGAAATGCCAACCAAATCCATTTCAGTGTGACCAGTCCCAACACATCTTTAAGCTTGCCCAAAACAGTATTTAGTTGCTGAAAGAAAACTTGCACATAATTTTGTCTGATGGACCCCAGCAGCTTTACACCTAGCTTATACTCCCACCCAAGCAGGTGGGGCACCCAGGCCTGCTCAAAGCCTGAGTGGGGATCCTGGGTTCTGCTACACAGGAGTATCTCCATCCGAGGGCAGGGAACAAAACGCCAGCCTGGTCCTACCAGGTGACTGCTCCAGCCACCAGGACAGATGGTGGCGGACACCACCACTGCTGAAACGCACAGCTACAGACTTAGGCTTCATGACCCGCTTTGAGAGCTTAGTGCCGGGCTATGCAGATAGGTTTTGTAAGTTTGGGCTAGCTTGAAATAAATGTCTGAGTATTCCTGGAGATGGGGAGAACTTTTTTTAATCAAATATAGTATCTTGTTCCACAGGAAATTAAACATTTCAAAATTACTCCAAAACTTTTCCAGTTAAAATTCATCACCTGAAATTATTTGAGTTTGTAAAAAGAATTTGCATTTTTCAGTAAAAGACCAAGGAAATTACCCTGATCTCCTCACAAGCCTCAGCACTTACTGATTTGACAGGAAACCAGTCTACCCAGCGGTTTGGCAGCTGAAGCTGAAAAGTGTCCGTGCCTGGGGCAGCAGGTCTCCTCGAACCAAGCAGAGGGAGCATGAGCTCTGCAAGCTCCTGGCCTGTGCTCCCAGCTCAGCCTAAGCCCTTCATATGCTGGGAAGGCATCTCCCCCTTAGTCTGCTTCAGCATGTGTCAGTGTTCAACGCACCTTCCACAAGGCTTTAAAACAAGCTGGCTGAGTGGCTGAAGCAGAGGGGCAGCAGTCACATGTTTCACTAATGTGGATAACCAGCTATCAAACAACAGCTGTGTAAAACTGGAGGCAGCTGAATTATTCTGCTACCAAAAAAAAACCCAAGAAAAAAAAAATCACCAACCTACAAAACACTTTTACATCCACATCTACAGAAAATGACAAACTGCATTAAAGAAATACCTGTTTGATTTTGCTTTACAGTTGACACTGTTTTTTAAACTCCTTAAGAAGTGATTGTCAGCACAGTTCACTTCCCCAGTTCCATTTAAATGAAAATGGGGTTCCTTCCACTGATGCCACTGCCATGCTTTGCTTATCACAAAACAGGCATATCAGTAACAAGCAAGCAGCCAAGATTTCAGATCAAAATCATGTGTGTGTGTAAGAAGAACTCCTTGTACAGCTTGCCCACAAGGACAACACAGGAATCTCCAAAGTGATTTAAACAGCATGTAATTAAGGCTAAAACCACAAGCAGGCCTCAGAATGAAAAATAAATAGGAAATTCTGTTCATGAGAATTTAGCAGTTCAAAAATGCTCATGCGATGCAAAGTCACAAGATTGACACAGAAGCAACATCAAGGCTACCTGTACAATCACGTTATTTGGGGATTAGTCTGTGAGTAGGAACTTCTGGCAGAAACAAGTAATTTGCTGTGCTAATGCACCTAAGTCATCTGAATGTCATTACAGAATAAGACGAAAGTACTGCCAAACCTACATCTGTACGGATGGCCTAACTGCTGGCTTTTTAAGGAATTTCGATCCTAACCAAAGCTGAAAACTTTTGGGCATCAAACCCAAGGGACTTTGGAACACATTCCACTAATGATTTTTTAAGAAACACTTGCTTTAAAATCTTTTTAGACGCGCTTCCTCATAAAATCCCATTGCATCCAAGGGGAGATGGGTAACTATTTCTTCAGCTTCTCCACAAACCCCACCCTAATGCAAACAGTAGGTTTGTCACTTGAGGGTCACACCTGCTTCGAGCAAAGCTCATTCCCAACACTCCAGGACAAAAGTACCTTCTTCAGGACGTCCCAAGACGCTGATAGCCAGAACATGTGGGAAGGGGGAACATGAGACTGAGACTACATTTTCAGTACTGACATTTTTGTGTTCAACATGTCGAAGTGCTCTGCTTTTCTTATACTCTTCTTCGTCACATGAAAACCCCCTGTCAATAAATAACAAGTTAGGAAGAAGCAAGAGCCACTAGACTAGAATTACATTAGCTGAACTGTAACCCACTGCCAGCTATAAGGAGGACCTCTTCATAGGTATTGCTTGCCATTTTCTCTCAACTCATGATGGAAAATTAAAGGTAGTGCTGTCTGGCGCTGGCATCTGCTCAGGGGGAACCTCATCACTAGAGTCACAACCTGACAATATTGCTTTTCTGCAATTCTGGCTTCTTTATTGGTTTTCATAGTGTCCAGGCAGGCTTCCTCCGAGCGCCTGCTGGAAGGAGAGAGGAAAAGGAAGTGCTACAAAGGTATTAAAAATTTAACAATATGTTCCTCATTGCCTCTGTGCAACTGAGGTCAGTAACTTCTTACAAGAACGAGCCTAAAATCTCTAGAAAACGCATTTTGGCCTAGGAAGCACAATTCAGACTTCTTGGGAAGGTAACACGCTGGCCTGTATCTGACTGCAGGAGTACCCCAGATGCTCAGCACAGCGAGAAGAGCTGCTGCCAGAGCCCCGCAGCTATGGGCTGCAGCTTCCACAGGGGCCTGCTGCAAAATCCGCTGCAGGAGTGGAAAGGTCACAGCAGCTGCAAAAGGGGTTGGGGGTTTAACGCCAGGACTAACAGAATCAAGCCCTTTGGCCACACTATGTCAGAACAAGCAACACTCTCATCAACCCTTTACAGGACTCCTTCAGGAGACATTATTATGTGTTTGAAGTTCAGCACACACACAAGACCTTATGAATCAGAAAGGCTGAAACAGAGACCAGCTTGATAACGCAATTCTAAACAACGTGATATACCAGCTAAATTTTGTTTTCAGTG